GTCTGTTGTCGCCACCTCGCGGAGAGCTCGCGGTACTGCAGGTGTTTTCCTTTAAGTTTGGACAGAATTTTTATTTTTATAAACAAACAAAAAAACCAAACATTTAAGAAAAATATCTGGACAAGTGTTGTCTCTTGTTGCTCCAAACCGTTTAGACGTTTTAAACATTTTATTAAGTGATTACTCGTGTGTTGTTTGAGCTGATTTTTYTCTGTTTAAACGTCCTGAAGTCACGGGAGTGGACACTTCCTCCTCTGTCCTTCGGGGGGAATAAGTGACGTCACGCAGGGCGGTGCCCGCAGGTAACCACATCATCAGTGGGCCTCAGCAGAGCACAGAGGAGCCGCTGTGGAGCAGCAGCAGGAGGAGGAGGAGACACTGAGGAGCAGCAGGAGGAGACGCGTCCCTGCGCCTCCGGACCGACGGGAAGGAAGCACCGAAACGGGGAAGTTGGACTCATCAAACAGTCAGCATGTTCAGCTGGGTCAAACAGGAGCAAGGTGGCCGCAACAAGGAAGGAGAGATGTACCAGACTGTGACCGAGGGCCTGCAGACCCTCTACACCAAGAAGCTGCTGCCGCTGGAGGAGACCTACCTCTTCCATGACTTCCACTCCCCCGCCCTGGAGGGAGCGGACTTCCAGAGCAAACCCATGGTCCTGCTGGTGGGTCAGTACTCCACAGGGAAGACCACCTTCATCAGGTAWGGAACCAGCAGGAAATCTGTGGTGTTTAATGAACTTGTTCAACAGGTGGAAGTCTGTTCTTTATTCTAAAGGCTCAGTGTAAACCGTGGTTTGTGTTGATTTATGAAGAAACACGTGCTGTTTGAGTTGTTCCACACAGAAAACGTTTTCTGACTCAGGAGGAAGGATGGTGAGGGCCCCTCAGAGCCACAGAGAACACAAAGTCAGCTCTGACACTAAGTATCCACTGCTGCTCAGATCACAAGTTGATCACAAGTGTTTCTGTGTCAAAAACATTCATTTATTCATAAAGATTCAGAGTTAAATACTGTAAGGATGGACACTTAATCCTAACATCCCAACATCTCACTGAGAAAAAGTAAGTTTCTGCTGCAGAGTTTTGGTTTGAAAAATAGGTTGTCAAACAGCTGAAGAAGCAGCTCGATGTAGGCCTCAACAAGCTCAAAACATTTTCTAATGAGGTAAACTTTAACCTCAATGGAAACAAGTAAACTGAGATGTTTAGAAAACAAACAATAAAACTGAGAGAGAGAGAGAGAGAGAGAGATGTTGGTTGGACGATGGATGGATGGATGGATGGATGGATGGAGGATGGTTGGTTGGACGATGGATGGATGGTAGATGGATGGTTGGTTGGACGATGGATGGATGATGGTTGGTTGGATGATGGATGGATGGAGGATGGTTGGTTGGACGATGGATGGATGGTAGATGGATGGTTGGTTGGACGATGGATGGATGGAGGATGGTTGGTTGGATGATGGATGGATGGAGGATGGTTGGTTGGACGATGGATGGATGGAGGATGGTTGGCTGGATGATGGATGGATGGATGATGGTTGGTTGGACAATGGATGGATGGAGGATGGTTGGTTGGACGATGGATGGATGGTGGATGGATGGTTGGTTGGACGATGGATGGATGGTTGGTTGGATGATGGATGGATGGATGGTTGGTTGGACGATGGTTGGATGTTTGATTGTTGGTGGGACGATGGTTGGATGTTTGATGGTTGGTTGGAAAATGGTTGGATGTTTGATGGATG